CCAGGTACTGACAATCGACACCATCAAGGGGTTGTATCGAGTGAAGAGGCTTCCTTTCGGAGTGGCGGCAGCTCCTGCAATCTTCCGAAAGTCACGGAGACAACATTAGCAGGCATCTCAGGAGTCAGTGCGTACCTAGACGACATTATCATCAGCGGGGAGACTGCGAAAGAACATACCTATCGACTCGATCAAGTACTGACGAGAATAGAAGATGCAGGACTAAAGCTAAAGGAAACCGAGTGCCGCTTCGGGGTGAGTGAAGTAAAATGTCAGACCTCATCAATGCGGACGGTATACATTCCACGCAGGACAAGATTCAGGCCGTAGTACAGGCGCCCGAGCCAAGGAAGAAGACAGAGCTGCAATCCTTTATAGGACTCTTAGTGTATTATGACAGATTTCTAGTGATTAGAGAAACGATTGCGAAAGAGCTTTATCACCTACTGAAACGGAAGACAAATTGGCGGTGGGAGGGAAACCACCACAAGACTTGACCAAGAGGACCTATTCATTTGAATCAGTATTTCACAGGGCGACTTATAATAATCTACACAGATAATCAACCTCTGCTAGGCATCCTAGGAGCTGACAAGCCCATTCCACAAGGGTTGTCACCGCCGATAACCAGATGGTGCGTAAAATTGACTGCTTATAAGTATGAGCTGATGTACAGGCCAGGAAACCGCCATAAAAATGCGGACGCTTTAAGCCGACTTTTCATATCCACCACGGAGGAGGAACCAGAAGTACCAGGAGACATCCTGATGTTTGAGGAATTGACCCGCCCTCCGCTCTCCGCAGACCAAGTAGCCAGGGAGACAGCACGTGACGCCGTCCTGGTAACCATATATACCAGGCAGTACAAGAAGGCACTCTGCATCGGTATCAGTTCCCACAGCACTCGCAAAAAAGAAGTAAACCGGCAGAGGTGTCCACACACAGAGGATGCGTAAGCTGGAGAACACGAGTCGCGATTACTAACCACTTTAGAAGACACACGATGGCTCTAATTCGCTCGGGACATCGCGGAATCGTCGCGATGAAAGCTTCCGCTTGCAGCTACGTTTGGTGGCCCGGGATGGACGCCGATATTGAAGCATGGGTCGCTGCTGGTAGTACCTGCCAGATACAAAGGAAGTCACCTGCGAAGGAACTTATCTCTGTATGGAATATGCCAACCGAGCCGTGGGACACTTTTCACCTAGACTTCGCAGGTCGTGTCGTGGGTCAATTTTCTCTGGTTGGGGTGGACGCGTTCCCGAAGTGGATGCAAGTGCGCGTGGTTCGCAACATGAGGTCTGCCGCCATCGTTAAAGAATTACTGCCCATTTTCGCAACGTTTGGTCTACCAAGGAAAACTGTGTCGGAAAATGGCGCGGCGCTAGTTTCAGAGGTGATGAAATTATTTGACCGAAACAACGGGATCATCGCAGTAACAAGTGCATCGTACCATCCCGCGACTAATGGCCAGGCGGAGCGCATGGTACAGGAGCTAAAACTGGCCCTCGGGAAAAAAGGAACTGAATTGTTTGCTGGCCAGGTTTTTATTCAAACAGCACACTAGCATTCAATTTGCAAAGGGAGAAACGCCAGCATGGTTGCTTTATGGCAGGGAACTTCCATCAGCTCTGGAACGATTAAAAACTGTAGCTTCTGAAGAGCCAGTCAGCACGGAAAGCGTCACTAACGCACGAAAACTGAGCGTGGGACAGCCGGTCTGGACTAAGAAGTTTCCGCACGGCAAAGGCTGGCTTCCTGCCGTAATTGAACGTCAGATGGGCCTCCGTTCATGGATGGTGAACCTAGATGAAGGTTCGGTACGCCGGCATACCAACCACATACGTAAGCGATGGACAACAGCCATCACTCAACACGAAGCGCAGACTCCGTCTCCTGTGCGGGACCTCGAGATTCACCAGAGCCCAACCTCACCACGGGAACCATCTCTCGGTAAAGATACTCCAGCTTGACTACACGCATCATCCCAGTGATAAAGTAGCAGACCGCCGGTCGCGAACCAATGTCAGCTTCGTCGACGGCAGACGCTGGCATGTTCACTGGTACCCGGAGGGGCACTCGAGCGCGACGACAAACGCGACGCTACGGGAGCCACGACTAGTTGGAGGGGGTGTTATGTGGCAAGCTGGAGCCCATCGACTTGTGACCATTATCTGCGCTCGCACCGAGCATTTGAGAGCCGCGTGGCACGACAAACAAACGCCAGGCTAGGAACGTAGCGCCAGGCTCCATCGGAGGCTCCATCGGAATAAACCGATTAGGCAACCTTCCAATGTCTACATCTCATATTTAACAAGGGGCTTAGAGCGATAAACTGGTATTCCGGTCACTAAGCAAAAGTGAACCCCCCTTTGGCTGTCGCCATGCCGTACAATACTGACCACTACACCCGTTACAGTACCAAATACTAATGCTTTTACGCAAAAGTGAGCCAATATTTGTATTGCGATCTCTGTAAAATACATGAACTATTTTTGTTTAATACTGTTAGCCCCAGAGATCAGTGTCTAGCTCCGATAAAAAGAAAAAATACAACAAGCCGGCTGACAGCATCTAGCGGAGCCATTGCGATGCTGGCCGGGTTTTTGTCGTAAAAGCACATTTTGGAGCTAAAACAAACTTAAAATAACTAATGATAATGTAGTGAGAGCGCAGGCGAGCTGGTTGATGTTAACCATTTTGTTCTTAGCCCAAGACTGAGGCAGAAAAAGAGGGAAGGTTCTAAGTAGAAGAATAATGAACAGTCGAGGACACGTCTCCATCTCGACTGTTCATTTCACTTCTACCTTTGAAACTTTCCTCTTTTCCTTCCTCAGTCTCGGGCTAAGAACCAAATGGTTAACACAACTAATCTCGTCGGTATTTTTATTAAGGATCACTAAGCAATTTTTAGTGCATGGTATTTCGTTAATATCTAGACGTAAAAATGTAAGTGCACGTTTGAAGTGGTACAAAATGTGCAAGATGGTGGCGGCCAATTTGGGATCACTTACAGCTGCCACTTTATCGCTCTAAAGCCCTTTACCTCGATGCTTCATCTCGACAACATTGTTGCGGCGTTCAGGGGTCCAGGTACGTTCTCCGGTATGTTTTCCTCTGAACTGGCACGCCGTGCGCCTCCAGTTGTCATAGCGAAGTTGGCCACGTTGCATTTGCATTTTAATGAATTTTTATACAGTCTGCATAATTATAGATACAAAAAAACGTTGATCCTTTTTTTTTTAAATTTCAACTTGTTTGGGTAGGAAAGAAAAGCAAACACTGCGTTGCTAGTGCTGTGAACGTACCTTTCGCGGTAATTTTCTCTTCGAAATTAATACATTAATAGTAATATAATGGTAACACAAGACATATGCGCCGGTTTTACTTCTTTTAATTTTATTTTGAATACTTGAGTACTTAATTTATATTTTGGGCATTAATAGTGCGTTTTAATGCGAAGTACTGCCATTCGCTCTACGTTCGATGCCAATGGTCAGCTACTATCTGCGTAATGAGAAAATTAGCGCAAATACAAGGAAGGAAGAACGTTAGGACAGGAAAGAGCGCTTGTTTATGTTTAGCCAACTAGCCCACCAGATGATTTTAACTATCTGCGTCCCGCGACCCCTGATTTCTTTAAGAATCTTGCATGCAAAAAAAAAAAAAAGAAACGCATTTCTGGAGAGTTGCACAGGCTGGCGGCATCAAGCTGAAGACGCGGTTTCTGCTCGTCTGTAGTCATTCGCCGAAGAAGTTTTAAAAACATTTCTGTGAAGTGTGAGAACGGCCTTTGAGAACACGTGGAGACTTTTACGGAAGCACTGTGCCGCACGAAAAAGGCACAAGTCGTCGACAGCAAGTCTCACCGGTCTCGCGGCGTGATCAAAGCTTCCTTGGCACGCCGAAGTGCTGCGTCTCTGTGCCTTCGCACGCTTGGACACCGATCAAGAATCGTCGTAACGGCAAGGTTTGAAGGTCTGTCGCGCGTAGAAGTCTTTGCAGCATATACCGGCCACGGAGTTCTGGACCGTCCAGCTGTTCCTGCGAAAATTCTTATCAATAAAGGGCCGGGAAAGAGTTCGTGGTTGCTATTATTCACTATTAACCATGGCTATGCTCCAAATTCCCTTGAATAAATCACATGGAAGCACAAATAGAGCAACGCTGCTGAGCAAGGTACGTTTTTGAACACAAAAGTAAGAAACGGCGAGATAGAAATGTTCTTGAAACGTGGCCCATATGCTCGTGTGCACCCTGTCGCTGTTACCGCCACCGTAACCACCTCCCCTATTCCGACCCCACTGGATCAAGCTCCTTTCTGAACCGCCCGTGCCGCAAGTTACTAATACATTCGTCATAGTAAAATAAGTAAGTAAAAAAGCTTTGATCACGCCGCGAGACCGTCGAAACACTCTTTCGGTGAGTTGTGCCTCTTTCTTGTGGAGCTGCACTTTCGTAAACAGTTCGAATTGCATCAATTGGCACTTTTGCACACTTAAGAAATCCGGAGACCCTCCGGATTTTTTAACAGTGTGAACAGACTTCTTCGCGAAGAATCAAGTGTTTTAATACATTTTCGGATATGCCCACCTGGAAAATGACGCACTGTCGCTTCTGTTGACAAAACTGGTAACTGCATTTATTTACACATTCATGTCCGGACATGCGCTGGTAAAAAGCTTTCACGAGTAAAAAAAAAAAATCAATGAAATGATGCGATGGTATGCAGTTTGTTGTAAGATAATGTTAAGAGAGCAAAAGAAAACTGGCTTTGCAATCTGTTAGCCACCAGAGAGGACTGGCTATCTCACCAACCCCGGCCCAGAGGTAGGGGACGCTCTGTTAAGTGAATGGGTACTGTTAGAAACCGTCTGTTTTGTTCCCGTCGTGAGTAACTGAGGGGCCGCGCGGCTGCATTAATGTCGGGCAACACTGCCCGCATACTAAGGAATTGTGAGGAGTCAAGAGGGTTTTGAAAGAGTCTGCTTGATACTTACGTAAATCACGTTTGAATGAATATTTTTAAAGTCCCGGAATACAAAGAAACTAAAAAATGCAGGAAAAGTTGATTGGTGGAGTAGTTGAGTGCAGTTTGCATAAGGTGATTCTCCTTTATTCAGTAGTGGCCACTTGGTAAAGCCATATTTCTTAAGCAGCTGCAGCAGGTCATTAAATTTCTCTGTTCCGTTGACAGCTGTTTGACATACAAAATAATCAAATATAATGAGGTACAGGTAAAATGTTGAAAAAGCTTCTTTTAAATGCAAGATCATTCCTACGGTCTCAAAACCGCGAGATCGTGTACGGCTGTTCACCGTCGCGTCTATATGTATCAAAGTCTAGCCGGAAAACCTAAAATAGTGTGATATTATACACCAATTCAAGTTACACGCTTACTGTAGCTGGGAGCGTTTTCCCGATAAATATTGCGGGGAAGCCAAAATTGGTTCTCTCGCACTGTGCTAGGATAGCACGGCAGCGCCGAAATTTACGAATGCGGGAAAAGGAGCAAATGATCTCAGTTAATATCGTATTAATGTTCGTTTGGCAGCATCCAGAGAGAATGCCCATATTCGTAAACCCGAGACAGCAAAAAATTGAAAACTTTGGTCGGTGCATAGGTGTACTATGCTGCATTAATTAATCTAGAACTATGTGGGGATGGCACGAGAAATGAGAGGGTTTGGGGTGGGTGTAAGAAAGGCCGTGCTTTGTCCACTCATTCCATATGTGCTTTTGTGGCAGCTGGAGATACGTCCAGGGACTCTTGCCGCATGACTATGGTGGGTGCGCAAGAAGCAACGTTGGCAAGATGTGAATGTCAGTGGCTCGGCGTCCCGTTGAAGCAATCTTACAGCACCCCGCGACGTCGTCTCCGGTTCGTATTTTCGGAATGGCGTGCAAAGTAAGTCGGCGGACAAAGCCTGGGTTTGCTATTGGGCCATTTCAAACACATGCTCAATTTTTTTTTTTCGGGAAAAGCACACCGGGATAAAAAGAGTTGTCGGCGTTTCCGTGGTGGATGCTATAACATGTTCGCCAAATCATTGGTGTACCATGGTGCGAGGAGTGCGTCGTCACGCATGAGAGCTCGCACGGGGATGAGGACGATTCGTCACATGCGCACGCGTCACAGGACGATTGGTCAAAGGACGGTTCGTCGCATAGGAACATTCGTCACAGGATGACTCGTCATGTGGGCAACTGGTCACATCGATCGGGCAGGGGACGATAGTAAATCACAAATTTCAACAACTACCCACATTCGCTGATGAGGAGTTTCACGACTTCCCACTGTCACATAAACCAATGGTTAGGAAAACTAATCTTACAATACTCCGCTTTTACTTTCATTATATTACGAGGCTTCAGCAGGTTGATCTCAGTTGCTGGCTTGAACGAGCAAAAATCCGACTCAGCCAAATCAGTTGTTACTTGTGCCTTGCATACCCCTATTCGACAAAATCAATAAGTATCGGAATTCTTTCTGCGGCATGTGTACGAGTACCCCTCCTGCAGCTGCATGGCTCCACCTCTCTTTGTTGCGATCACCTCCATCCTTTTAAATGTAGTCCGAGTTAAAAAAAAGTCGCTCTTATATGGCCTCCGCATTCACCGTTTGGGACGGACCCAGAAACTAAAACGTCTGTTACAAATTCTTTGACCTTGAGAAGCGAAAGACATGCTAAGATAAGAGGTGACCCACTTTTTCAGGCCAAACCACCATTCAATGTTCGGGACCGAACCAGAAGCTAAAACGTTTGTTACAAATTCTTCGTCTTTCAGAAGCCAAGCACATACTAAGATATGAGGTGAGCCACTTTGTCCGCCCGAACCAAATTGAGCAATACATTTTTTGGGGGACGAACTATTGTGGGACCGGTTGGCCACGTGACGAGTCATCCTGTGACGAATGTTCATGTGTGACGAATCGTCCTGTGACCAATCGTCCTGTGACGAGTGTGCATGTGACGAATGAACTGTATCCCGCTCGCACGATCCTTTTTGTTTTTTACTTTTGCGTTCAAACTAACTACAAATATATTTTGACGCTCGTGACGTCACTTCTGTGACCAAGTTTTTGTGACATCCCGTGACCAAGTTTTCGTGGCATCGTCTTTTAAGCCTTGCACCCCCTTCAAGATTTATTTTACGTGTGGGACGTCACTTCCGTGACCAAGTTTTCGTGACATCGACCTCCTTACTTTGCACCCCCTTCCAAGCGCGTAAAAAGACGCAGTTCTGCGAAACAAACAAACAAACAACACACATTTTGTGTAGTATTCCCGTATTCTGGCATATTATTTGGAGCTTGTTTACCATCTTGTATGCGTATTTTCATTTGCAGGGAGAAGGCGTGGTTATATTTTGTGAAAATATAAATTTGCTTAATTAGGATATATATTCTTGACCAAATCGGTGGAGGAGCTGTCTACCGTATATCTTCTGCTTCAATTTAACACTAAGGACTACATACATTATTTACAAATATTCAAAAATATTAATATGCAAGACTATGCCTATGCCATCGAGCTTTAAATTAAAATAAATCAAAATGAACAGAAATTTGGTTGATACACGAGAGGTAGGCATATCAGCTTTGGCTAAATTGTGTGAGTTGACGCCTGCCTTTTTACGATGACCATCAGTGTCTTTAGGATGAATAACCTCGCTGGATATGATTAATAATAAAGAAATGTGTTTTGGATTATTTCAATGTTGAAATGTCTGTTTCCACCGGGTTCTACCAGCTTCAGCATATTTAGAGTTTGGGTTTACATTTTTGTTGCTTCCTAGAAAAGTAAAAAAAGAAGATAAAAACTGGACATTTATTTTATTAAAAGCAGATTAATTTGATTTCAGTGAGAGCAGCTGAAAATAGTGATTTTATCACTAAATATATATTTAAACATGGCAGACTGATTGATTAATAAGTCAGACTAATAACAAGCAACAATAAGTAATTACTGTAAATTTAAAGTACAGATTAATTATCAACTCTTTATGAATGTAAACTCCGTCATACTAGAACATTAACCAATTTGTCTTTTTACGCCCGCTAAAATTCCCTATATGCTGTTTTTTCGAATTCTCGCTCGCTTGCAATAGGACATAACTTTCCTAGTTTTCGTTTCCTTCCTTCTTAATTTCGTGTTTTGATTCGCTTTCAATACGACACTACGTAACAGAGCAACGTGGCGTAAGATAGGTAGAAAGCTCAGTGCTCCGAGTTGCTCTGACGAGAAGTGCTTTCTGCTCGTGTTCAACCTGATATGAATCATTCTTGCTTGATCGATAGTTCGATTTCAGTACAAAACAGTGCACACAGAAAACATCACATGAGAGATGAGCGGTAAGTCATACATATTTTCAGGATTATTTCTGCAGGAAAAGCTTGATTTAAATTGTCATCGTGCAACTGGTCTGATTTAAATCACGATTTAACCCCATTCTGATCATTATTTTCCAAACTGCTTCTCAGTCCAAAACTCATATTAAAACCTTAAACACCAGACAAAACGTAAAAAAACCTATCTTTATATATACACTTCAAAAACAAAAAAAACATGACGGCACCAATATGAGATTTTTCCTTATGTCCATGAGAAAGTGAATTCGTTGATTATAGGCGAGTACAAAATTTAAAATCCCATTTGTGCATGTTTTGAAAGGGCACGTTTTAGATCAATCCATCGGTGTGGAAACTTTACTTGATTGGAATTGACCCACAATGCATGTGTGTTACTAACGAATCATTTAAATTTACGGCAGCTAAAGCATTTTGCTAAATTCAGTGTGAGCAAAAAATGTTATGTGGGAGGTTTTGATGTGCGAAATCATTATTTCAGAAAGCGTTAAGATATTGTACGATGAGTTTGGTAATTATAATTCATAAACAAATTTATGCAACCATCAATCTAAAAACCACCCTTTATGACTGACAGCGGGGAAAAAGCGCAAAGTAAATATTAAGACCTTAGGGCTGCTTGAAATGCCCGTGGGTGTTAATTGCTGCTGATGTCACTCATAACGTAGACCTGCATGGACTAAGGCGCACTGACATGAACTCGGCTGGGAAAGCAAACTCTTGCAGATCTGTAAATTCTCAGCATCACTATGTAGCACGAAGTGGAAACAGCATAAAAAACACATTAGACTCTTGAGTCGCCGTACAAATTAAAGCGCTAAATGATTTCGGAAAAAGAAAGAATGGGGTTTATTTTCATCTGATCTGAATAGCCATGTCCTGGACTTTCCGGTGTATATTTAAAAGACAAAAAATGGTGAAGATTTTTGGTGTGTATTATTTCCAACAATGTATGTATATTGACGATATCTTCCCGAAGGACACTAAAAAGCGGTGATTCTCGGTGGAGAACTAATGAAATACCAAGCGTTAATTCTTAATGTTAAGGTTCTTGACAAAACAGTCTTATCAAATACAAAAAATGTATAGTAATTGATGTTTCTTAGTTAATGTAGATATTGTGTTTTCAATACAAGCAATTGTTGAGAGGTGCTTTCTGGTTTTTATGGGGAATGTATTCTTGACACTAACGGATATTAATTGTTGTTTTTTATAATGAAACTGGAAAGTCTATGGTCTATTTATAGTTGGCATCCCTGTTAAGGGGTTTATCTTTCTTCAAATAGGGGTTGTTTCATCTGAGTTTGCATTCCCACCGATTTGGTGTCGTTCAGTAACAGTTTCTTGTGTCGTATATAAAAAAAGGCGGTTCACTGAGGCTAGCGTTGAAAATTTCAAGCATTGGTTTGGATTCCCAACGTCCTAAGAGCAGGTAAACCTTTCTCTCAAAACGCACGCGTGTGCACCCGGCAGGCGCTTTGGATCATTTCGTGAATTTTGCCACTTCGCCGCCAATGAGGACTCGGCATCGAAAAAAAGGGAATGCGATACTCTGGCTCCGCATTTAGTTCTTTTACCTTGAACAAGAAACTTACGTACTCTCAGAAAGGCAGACTCTGTAGGCCAGGATAGCCTTATTAGTAGCATTCTGCGGCTCTTCTTCCTTAACCGTAGCGTTCAATAAAATATCTAGATATGAGAAAAATATTCAAGATTATTTCAATGTCAACCCTGTATGTTGTAAAGAAGAATGTAACTTAATTCAAATTAAGCTGTAACCACACTAAATTATTTAGTAGTCGTATCAAGCTTTCAAATCTATTCCGGGGCCACAAATCACGATTGATGGCATATATTTGCCAACAGGTTCACCAGATGGCGTAGCCATGATATTGAGAGACGCACCGATAAGTCTTTTTTTATGTTTTACGTTAAACTTTTGTGCGTGTATGATCTCAAGGTAAATACACATTTTCTCGATCTTGTTCTGCAGTTAACAACCATAAGACTTTAATTATTAGGGTGTTATAACAAGAGATAACGGCAGCGGGTGCTTGTAAAATAATCTGAAAAAGAATCCTCCTGGGAGCCAGCAACTGGCAAAGATCATTTTGTTAGCGCTAAGCGTCTATGGTCGTTGACCGCTCAAGAAAAACAAAGCGTGGCTTATGCTGTTCACACTTCCTGTATTGGGATTATTTCTCAGCGTTTTTATCGGGTGATGCCATAGACTCATTGGCTGTTGAGTCCTGACCAATAACGAGAGTTCCGAGCAAGTTAGGTGGAAAGCAAGTCGCCTGCTTCTTGCACAGGATTGCGGTGACATCAGAACGAAGGCGAGCACCGATTGGTTTTGATTGGATTTAAAGGATATAGTGGGTAGACCTGAATGCTAGATGTTTTAAGGTCTACCTACGATTTGCTTTCTATCAGCCAAAAAAAGCTCGGCGTTCCCACGTTATCGTAACCCCTCTGCAAGAAGCCGACAAATTTTTACTCCGCATTGGTTTATCATTAATAAAAACAAATCGATAAAACAAGAACAAAGCGAAACACGACACAGAGAAGCGCTTGTCTCTCATGTCTCTCATGTCATTTCTAGTCAAGGATGGTATGGTGATTTTTACAGTAAGGCACGCGGGGCGTGACTTATTCTTCCAATGCCTCTTGTTATTCAGTGTTATTATTCGTTATTTGTTATTCGGTGTTCTGATTAGTTACTGCCGCAACCTCATGGGTTCTGGAGAGTTAATAATATTAGATAGATATTCTGACTATAATAAGACTGATATTTTGGGCAAACATAAAAAGCAGCAAACAAAACTAAACTGAAGGACGTATTCAAAAATCAATCACATTAGCGATTGTCGAGTTTGAGTTTTGATCGTTGACCACGACATAATTGTTCTAAACAAGGGATTATGATGATGGACTTTACGGCTAAACTTTTTTTTTTTGATGGTACAAGGTAAAACCTCCTTCCTCTCCCCGAACAGGGGGATAAAGGACTAGGGATAGGGGGCGTATGCGCATCGACGCCCTCAGGGCAATATTTTCGTGTTTCCTTTTTTCAGTTTCGATTAAACTGTTCGTAGAAAGTCATTAACTCTTCGTGGTGTATTTTTCTTTTCCTTTCTTCGTCGTATCTTTGCGTTTTTTCTAGAAATATCTGTCAATCTGAGATTTTAATGGGGTTAATTTTTGTATTGCTTGTTTACTCCTTAACATAAACTATATTGGTTGGATGTATATATATTTACTGAATTCAATACTCCAATAAAATTCAGTACGAAATACTCAAACTGGCTATCACGCTGCGGTATTCTCAGACTACGTAGTCACATTATCGTGCACTCTGGGTTAAGATTCATTTATGTGCGAAATCTTTTTTTTTCTCGCTGTTTAAGGTCACCCAACTAGACAAATAAGTTATATAAATAAAAGCGAAATATGCAGTGCAGTGCATATGCAGTGCACTGCATATGCAGTGCACTGCATATGCAGTGCATGATACTGATATACAGTGCACTGATATGCAATGCATAGTAGATATTAAAAACTTGATTGTTTTCGACAAAGAGAGTCGTTGGGGTTTCAGAAGCGTCTTGTTCTCTCCTACTGAAATATTTCGCGATGTTCTCGCTTAGTTCGTTATTAGCACAGGTTGGTTTGATACGCAAAAAAAAAACAAAAAAACAAAAAAAACGGAGGTTACTTTTCAAGTTCGCTCTTCTAATAAAAGTGCGCATGCTTCTGATTTTGAAGAGCCTTGAGTTTGTTATTGGAGATTTCCAGGAAGTGGTCAAGACAATATCTGCATAGTGGCGCAGAAGTAAATAAATAAAACAAGCAAAAGACCAAAGGAAATATCAAAGCTACACTTGCGGTTTGAAGGACAGCTTAATTCTCTATTCTGAACGGGAAAACTTGGCGTACTCGGTGCTTGGTACGTCCACCGTAATACTAAATATTATATGCGTTTAGCGACGAACGTGCTAGTGGAGTTCTAAAACAAAAACGCATATAAGATTGCTTTACATCTAAAAATAAACGTGATTATAAATTATACCAAGAGCATAGTTAATTGGCTTGCCCTCAAGCGGAACTAAGGTGCATTTTGCGATTGTCTTTTCATGCCACATAGTCAACCAACGCGCCCAGTAAGCATCGAAGAAAACAGAAACATTACACCTATTTGCCACCTTTTTTAACCCGCGCAAACATCAGGACATGCCCTTTGTTCTTGTGCGAATTCTCAAAGAAGAGACGTGCCGATATGGTTGGTCGCATTATTAAGAAAAAGAAAAGGCTACTCATGATTGCAATTCTGAGATTCCTAGGATTGTTAGAGCGCGTGGAATGAGCTTGCGCCATGAAACACAATTACAAAATTCTCTGTGCCCTCCTAGATACGTTGTCTAGTGTACGCTCGAGGCACAAGATATAAAGGAAGTATAATATGAAGAGCTTAGCGCCCTTAAAATTGGAACCGATAGCAGAAAAGTTTGAGCAGAATATTTCGCTTTTCCTATGCCGCTAATCAAGCGGCAAAGCTATTTTTTCAAGACGAGATAAAGGTTTTCAGTTGACACACTTAATGAAAACATACTTTTTAGGTCCGTCTGAACTTTCTCATGAAGAATATGATAATTTCCAATTTTTGTCTTGCCGTCACGTATTCTGTGTCTTTTTTGCCAGTTTCCACACGCGTATTCATAGAAGTCAGTACAAGGATCCTCGTTCGGGTCCATGCTGGCCAACACCATTTTAGCTGCATAAGAATTCAACAATAGGCTTTTACCAAATATATAAACTGCGGTAATAAAAGGACTTTATGATGTACACTTGGTCTGCAACCTGATCTGTTGCAGAACAACAAGTATTATGCTACATAATTACGTCACTAACGAGAGAAACACAGCACGAGGTAATCAATTAAGATAACCAAAAGATAACAAACAGAACATAATTTACTTCCTTGCGAACGGTGAGTGACTTCGGAGGGCGGGGTGAGGGGGGAGCAAACAAATCACTTCATTTGAGAAAGAAAATGTAAACAATTTAGAGAGGTAAGAGAAAAATATCGCTCGCCTCCCCACACCTCCACCGTCTCCACCCTTCCCTTTCACCTTCTCCCGAACCAAACGCCTCTGGTTGTCACTACATTCAACCCCACGTGCGATCGTGACATAATCCACAAATACCTTGAGCCCAACAACCACTTTTTTATGATGGAAATATGATTTTACAAAGCGAAATTAACAGTAAACAAATAAATAGTAACGCCAGTAGTCTAATATGCCAACTCAGATAAGAAACAAACAGAAAATAAAAAAGATTGTTTTAGAAAAGGGCAGAATGGAATTGTACTCAATAGGTACGACAGGCGGGGTTTCACACTTCACTTGCGTAAACATTCAAACGTCACGGCCTTAATTTGTTTATTTAGTCAGGGACAATGTTCAACGGACAGACATGGGGGCAGCAAGCACGATAAAGGACTAATTATATAACAGCAAAACATCATTTTGTTACTCCATAATATATACATGTATATTATATTGTAGAATAAGATAATATTATATGACACGACAATAAGATTTAAGATATCGTATAACAAGTTATTACAATATAATACACATATATACATATATATATATATATATATATATATATATATATATATATCTGGTGATCATGGGGTGTCATAGGAGGATATGTGCCAGTGCATCTAAGCACTCTCACCTCTTTCTTGGCAGGCTTCTGTTTGACACACTTTTTTGGCGGACAAATCTGGTACAATTTGAAAGGAAATGGAATTATTCATCTTGATATAAGATATTAAATTTTTTTATTATTAATATTTTAAAATATTGCTTATACTCGTCACACGTTTGAGGCTGACAGGCATGAATTAGTCTACATTATACAATGCAAAAGCCTTCAAAGGATACTCTGACTATATTACTCACCCAATGAGGATTTTGCAGCGCTGAGTTCAGCTAACAACAAAATCAAGTAGAATCCCCAGATTGCCACCAGCTGCCGAACATGAGGAAGCATGTACTGCCTGGATGAGCTAGGTGTACTCTTGCGCATTCTTTCTGAAGATCACAAATTATGTTTGTTATTCGCATATGAAAAAGAGCCAAAACCAAAATCACCTTGAATAATTTTTTATCTAATTACTTTTTGAAAGTCTTGCGATGTAAATGGTGCTCTTATCGCAGTGAATAACATTTTTTTAGGGCTGTATAACACTTTCTGAGCACTGTTAAAGCCATCATAGTCCTCAATTCTCGTGGGTGGCACTAAAGCACTCGCCAGACACAGTATGGAATGTCGATTTTAAGTCAGGTTATTTGTTTAGTTGAGAATCAGCGTGACATGTGGAGCCAAAATCAAAACACAAGCTTCTAGAATGAAGCTCCATTTCTGATCTTTAGCAGTCTACTTTAGAGTAAAGACCAAACATGCTCCTTCTTTATTTGAAAGACCTAAAAACTACCTAAAAGTGCAGTGAAGCAATCGACCACAAGTCAAAATCAACGAAACGCTGGCCAAATGCAGATCAATGGGAAAATCAAAATCGATCGTTCTCGTCTGAGAGCAGGTTATTATTAATATAATAGTTTATCCGCGTAAAACCAACAGGATCAGCAATATATTACATGGTGGTGGTAAGTAAGTCACGGGTTGGTCTAATAAAATGCCACTAACAAGTAGAAAGCAAGACTGATTCCTTCAGCAATGTGCCGGCTCTGCCAAATGTGTCTATGGAGCAAAGTTTTAATAAAAACCATGAAAACTGTTTTTTGGCCAACCGCATTCTTTCGGAATAATACCCTCTTGTGCTTTGTTCCACAACATAACGATTTCATAAAGCAAGAGTTTGCCTACGTGGCTGAGACCAGAGACAAGATTGGGGAGGTGCAAAGAGGCATGTCGAGTTTCACGGGTGATTTCATAAGAGCCAATAGCTCTAGTGACATCGAGCGATGCCAAGGATATCACATCATAATTGTTGTCAAATTTACTGTAGCCCGACTTTTTAGTGATTATTTCTGCTTATATTTAACAACAGCATTTATACCTTCTGGTAGAAAACATACCAAAATATATGCTTCTAACAAATTGCACTTAGGTAATTGGTAAAAATGAGTGTTCGGGAAGATTGGTAACAAATTGTATTCCGGAAAAAGACGCAACAGTTTTCAACCTCTTGTGATTGCTCTTTCACTTTCGCCAGCACTGACTCGCCCAATATGGGAAAAGCCATCGCATAAGCTCGATAATAATTATCAAGGCTCCAGAACTCAGAAATGTTTTTACTGTAAGTTGAGGAAGGCTTTTTTTTTTTTTTTTTTTTTTTAAACTGAGGTATCCGTTTGCCATATAAAACGGCCCGAAATATAAGAGCTCCTGCGACCGCAGTTCTTCGAAACCAAGGTTAATTATACTTCACAACGGCGACTGAAAGTCTTAAATTCATGTAGATAAATGTAACAAGATATATGACAAAGTCTGTGTTGGAGTTAAAATTGTCGTAGTTGCTTTGTGAAAAGACCAGAAAAGGTACTTAAGATGTGCCTGGTAAAAATAAAACATTTTTGGTACCTACACTCTAAGGAACAAAAAAGGAGGAAAAAGGTAGGAACAGCGCGTTTTCTTTCATTCTACTAACGCGCCCCCAAGCGAACACGAGAAGAAGCGACAAAAAAGAAGTTTTTCTCCTTCTCCAGGCAGGCGGATTAAGGGTTTCGCCCTACCGCCACATCTTGTTTCAAATTCGTTCTTTGAGCACATTGCGCTCGTTCTCTAATAAACGTTGGTGGTTCACTGAGCTTCAACGCCAGCGAAGGCCACCTGTAATTCCGTCACCCAGTCCAAACGTGCAGAGCATTTCTGTTGCATCGATGCTTTTACCACTAATTTTATCATATGAGCAAGAGAAGCCGCTAGAAACACAGCGAAGTTCTGGAGCAGTGCCAGCAGGGCTACGTACACTGGGCTAAGAAGGCCGCCTTCGGATTGCGGAAGGACGTGTCAGTGTTTACCACGTTATGGAAACCGCGGAAACTGTGTCCGAGACAGCGAGATTTTCCAGCCTGGCACTGGGGTACCTCCTGTGCTGAGTTCAGTACAGTTTTCCGATGCCGAGTGCGAACCGGCAGTCAAGATGGTTCTGTATTTCTGAGTCTCAGCAACATAGCAGCGGCATCGCGACGGCAGTGTTTTGCGTTTTGAACAGAATGCTGGAATTCTCGTCGATGTGACCCTTTGTTCGCGTATCAGTAATGTAACAGCAAGATGGGACGACGTAAACTGTCGGGCATTGATGCCGCTGGTCGGGGTGTGATCAGAAGGGGCGGTGTGTTGCAGGTTGACATTCCGCTTTACATCAATGAGCTTTAACACCGCTTGAGGGATTACGTTTCACTCAATCGACCTGCGGATAGTCATGCTCCAACGCTGGTCTGAACCATAGCTCCTATCGTACAGTGGCTAATGTGGCTGCCGTCTGCGATGTTCTGTTTTCTCCAACCCGAAAGCGATTCCGCTCTGTGGAAAAAAACTGAACAGTATCTAAATGTTACGGAAAGTACGTTTATTTACATTTTCGAAATTTAGGATTAAGAAAATATGGTAGGTAAAATCGCCCCTCAAAAAAAGGCTATTCTTTATTTTCTTGTTGAAATATAATGCGGTTCCTGGAAATACTGCCCTGCAATCGGAGCGCTGGGATGAGCGATAGAAGTTTTTGAGCTCACCACAGCGTAGCTCCGTACACTTAATACCCACAGCAAGTCGCAGCTTTGACTGGTTTCAAGTTGATCGAAAGCGATTTCTCTGTCCATGAAGCATCGCTCACAACTGAGTGAATACCTTCTCTACAGAGGTTAATTCAAGACGACGACTGCAGCCGCACGCGAACGACGCAAATAAAGAACTAAATAAAACAGTAGAAAAACTGGCTACGACGTGCTGTGCGGGGAACCAGACACGGCTTGGGACCAGATTGGAGCGGCTTGTTTTGTTTGCTTTAAATATTTGCGGTATGAGCGTCTACTATTTAAAAAAAAGTATCATCCCATGAGAAGCTCAATAAAATCTCAGAGTTATGAGGTATACTCACAAAATAACAAAAAAAAAACTTTTAGCGTTTCCATTCTGGTGAAGAAGGAAGAGTAGAGGAGCTGTAGCTTCTGTTCTCGGCGGCGGCTTTCGAGGCGAGCGATGTACTCTTCTTTCGCAAGAGAATCTGAAGCGCTCGACGCAGTGAAACTCGAGGCGACAGCGGCTTCGCGGTGGTTGCGGACCCATTCGCGCTGCTGCGTACGTCGCCGCTCCTTTCGCACCCGGTCTTCTTTCCCCGAAGAAAGGGCACGCGGCCGACCCATCGTGAGCGCGAATTCCAATTGACAAGAACGTAGAAGACAGCGTGCAAAACAGACGAGGACGAGGAATAAACACATGGAAGGAGCTTTGGGCTTGTCAGGTGTGCTTCTTATTCGTCCTCGTCTGCTTTTCGCGCTGTTTCCTACGATGAATTCCCAACAACTTGCCCAACTATCCACTCTTCTGTGATACCTAGAAAGGTTGCCGCCACCTATGAGCGATAGCAGTAACCAGACTGGTTGTCTGGCTGCGGCCGTTGTTCATAGATATCCGTAGCTGTACAGAGTTTTGTGTAGTTTTGTGTCGACATTTGTTTGGTACCGAAACGATCCTCGGGAACCTAGACATTAACAGCTCCCCTGTTAAAATCAACATGCTGTGAATATTGACTATTCCTTAGGTGGCCACCGAGAAATTCCGTACTTTCAATACAACGAGTATAAAAAAAAAAAAATGAAGAGCCCGGAAGTAGCTATTGGGTGTCATGTTGTATTGACGTTTGTATATGGAGTGCATGTGTGCGCTCCACATACAGACGTAGATTGAGCATGCGCTCAATGCATATGTTAAACTGATGCTTGCCCTATTGAAAAAAACCAGCAAGGACTTCAAGCTGAGCAAGCTGGTTTAGCTGTTTTTTTAAGCTCGTTCGAGCTGGTTCGTGCTGGTTCGTGCTGCTTCAGCTGGTTTTTAATCTGGTTCGAGCTGGTTCGTGCTGGTTCAAGCTGGTTCGAGCTCTTCTACGTAGTAATCAAGCTGGTTCAAGCTGGTTCGATCTGCCACTGCAGCTGGGCAAGCTGGTTCGAGCTGGCACTGAAGCTGGTTCAAGCTTGTCAAGCTGGTTCAAGCTGGTTCGAGCTGACACCGCGGATGGGCAAGCTGGTACTTGAGCTGGTTCAAGCTTGTCATGCTGGTTCAAGCTGGTTCTTAATCTGGCCCAAGCTGGTTCAAGCCGATCTTTCTGGGAGCGCGCACGCCAAGGTCGGCGAGAGCTTGTCGAACTGGCATTGCCGGGAGCGCGCGCCCCAAGGTCGGCAGGGGTGGGGACGATGCCACGTCCTGTCCTTTGTCCTCTCGTTTTTGGTGGACGGTCGGGCGCTTCAGGCACGCTGCGAGCTTCCTTTGTGTGCCAGAAAAGAGAGAGAGTGAGTGGTAGGAACGGAGACTTTGAGACACGTTTGGCTATCTTGGACAGATTTTCGAAGGGACGGCTGTGTGCGCGTTGTTTGGCGACTACTTTAACGGCGGCGCAAGCGAAGCGGGATTTAGGGAGGCGGCGAGCGGCAGTCCGTTCAGCGCGGGAAGAAATCGGATGCCCCGGCGGAGGCGTCGTTTCGTGTCTTTGAACATCCGTGTGCTCGTGAATACGGTGGTGCCGAGGAGTTTTGCCAATGCCATCCAAGCCACACGAATTTCCTCGCCTCTGCCGACTAAGCAAGAGGATGCTTCGCCCCCCTTACGGGCGGGACCCAGGTTCGCTTTTCTCATCCGTGTAGTATTTTTTATTGTTATTGCCTAAATTTTGGCGTGTGTCTAGTATTTTTTGTGTTGAGAGATAAGAAATCTAGTTTTAATAGCATTATTTGTTTTACACTCTGCGCCGGTTAGTACTGTGTCAGCGCAGTGGATGTATGGCATCTGAGCTCATGTGCAGGCCGCAAATACGAAAATAATAAATTCGATGCCGAGCTGGCTTTTCT